TGCGGGGCCCCTCCCAGGGGGCCTCCGCTGCAGCGCAGCAGCAGCAGGGGGGGGGGCCCCTCGGGTTCGCGTCGGGGGCCCTCAAGATCCCCGTGGGGAAGGCGGGGGGGCCCCCCGGGGCAGCAGCGTCGCCGCTGGGGGCCCCCGGGGGGCCCCCCAGCAGCAGCACGCAGGCAGAAGCAGCAGCGGGGGCCCCCGGCGAGGGCCCCGGGGGGGCCCCCCAGGGCGACAGCGTCCGCAGCAGCCGCAGCGGGGAGGGGGGCCCCCCTTTTCCCGAAAGAAAGACAAGTGCAACAAAACTGAAGAGTGGTTTGAGAAATATGGGCCGGAAGGTTTCTTTGGCCCGCAGGGGCAGCAGCAGCAGCAAAAAGGGCAGCAGCAAAAAGGGCTTCAGCAGCAAAAGCAACTCCGACGAAGAGGGCTGGATCCGAGAAAAAGGTGCGCCTTCCTGCTGCTGCTGCTGCTGCTGCTGCTGGGGTTAGGCACTAGGGTTTAGGGTTTAGGGTTTATTGGTCAGGGTTTAGGGTTTATTCGTCAGGGTTTAGGGTCACGCGTGTGTCTAGACTTAGGGTTCAGGATTAAGACTCCAGCACTAGCTCAGAGGGTTCCGCATGCGGGTTTCGGGATAAACCATTAGGGTTTAGGGTTTAGGGTTTAGGGTTTAGGGTTTGAGCGTAGAGCGGCGTCTTCCGTACGAAGCGCGGAGAAGCAGCTGTAGTCTTGTTGGCTGCTGACTGCAGGAGCTCCCCGCTGCGGCTCCCAGGCTTCGGGTTCCACCTAGGGTTCAGGGTTTAGGGTTTAGGGTTTAGGGTTTAGGGTTTAGGGTTTGGCGTGCAGGGAAGTACCTGGACTTGTGTTACCGCGTGGAGAAGGAGAGTTGCGTGTCGATGAAGGTGCGGGGCAAACTGCCTTGCGCGCTCTTCGCCGTGTTGGCGATTCTTAACGAATCGGACTTAGCCGGAAATTGGGCTCCGATGTTCAGAAGTGCGGAGTTGGTGGCGACTTACAGCAGAGCTTCGCAGCTGCTGCTGCAGACATTTGATTATCCTTTATTGGGATTAAAAGAAACAGTTTTATTTTCCTTCGGAGTCAACGCGCTGGAGGAGTGCGGCGCGGTGATCATCTTCTGCTGCTCCCCGCCGGAGCCTGCTGCTGCTGCTGCAGCAGCAGCAGCAGCAGCAGCAGCAAGCTTCCTCGGCCGCCCGCTGCCGCCCAAAGGCAAACTCCCCAGGGCCCAGTCCGCGGACTTGGTATTTATTTTGTACCCTCTCTCCGGGGGCTCCCAAACCACTCTTGAACTCTACGGAGCTTTCCACCACGGACTTCGTTTTGTGCCGCAAAGACTTGTGACTTTCGTTTTGAAAAAAGTAGTTCGCGGGATGTTTGTGCAAATCGCGCGTCAGTGCCAAAACTTCAACAACACTCCTTACCGAGAACGTGTTAACAACAACCCCACCTTCTACTCCTGGATGAAGGACTGCATCGACGACTACCTGCAAACCGACCACCAACTCAAACAACTCGAGTCCATTTCCCTCTGCTCCTTCAACTACGAAGACTTCCAGGACACCTAAACCGGGGGGGCCCCTGGGGGGCCCCTGAGGGGCCCCTAGGGGGGCCCCTGGGGGGCCCCTGGGGGCCCCTGGGGGCCCCTGGGGGGCCCCTAGGGGGGCCCCTGGGGGCCCCTGGGGGCCCCTGGGGGCCCCTGGGGGCCCCTGGGGGCCCCTGGGGGGCCCCTAGGGGGGCCCCTGGGGGCCCCTGGGGGCCCCTGGGGGGCCCCTAGGGGGGCCCCTGGGGGGACCCCTCAGCGGGGGTTCTTCAAGGGGCCCCGGAAGGGGGCCCCCTCAGCTGGGGTTCTTCAGGGGGCCCCGGAAGGGGGCCCGCAGGTGGGGCCCCTCAAGGGGCGCCTCAGGGGGCCCCTGAAGGGGGCCCCTGGAGGAGGGGGCCCCAGGGGCCTCCATGGCGGCCTCCATGGGGGCCGCCGGAGAGGCTGCCGGGGGGGCCCCTGAAGGTCGGGGAGGGCCAGTGAGGGGGGGCCCCTTGTTTTGGAGGAGGGGTATTCTTTGGGGGGCCCCTTTCGCGGAAAGGTCTTTTTTGAGGGGCCCCTTTTTGAGGAAGGTCTTCTTTTGGGGGCCCCATTTGAGGAGGGTCTTTTTGAGGGGCCCCTTTTTAAGGAGGGTCTACTCTCGGGGGGCCCCTATCCCGGAGAGGTCATCTTTTTGGGGGTCTTCTTTCTGGGGGCCCCTGTTCTGGGGGCCCCCTTGCTGGGGGCCCCTCCTCTTGGGGGGGCCCCCTTCTCTCTGGGGGCCCCCTTTGCTGGGGCCCCCTGCAGCCCTGAGTGCCTCCGCAAAAGGAATTCTTTCCAAGTCCAGCTCTGAGTCTTCAGAAACAAAAATTAAATCAATTAAACCCTCAACTCCAAAACGACGCTGCTGCCCCACTCCCCGGACTCGAAGGGGGCCCCCCAGATTCTGAGGGGGCCCCTCCCGATCTCTCATTG